GACTAGCTATAATTTTTATAGTAATTCCGAGTAATGAAGGAAATAGGTTAGCAAAAAAATTCATCAGAAAAGTTGGGGAAATCGCGTCCATTATTTATACTCCAATTACAAGAAAAAAGTTAATTAATCAAATTATATATCTGGAAAAAAACAAGATTGCTAACAAAAACAATAAATATCTGCAAATTACTGAAAGCAAAGATACAAATATTCGGAAGCAAGTAGCAGACTGTGAGCTTTATAAGATTGAAAATGCGAATCAAAATATATATGAAGACATAACTGAAAGAAATTTCGATAGCAAGTGTATTTTATGTGTGGTATGCATTTATTTTATCCAAATAATGCATGTTTATTTAATATAATGCTTTAATTAATTGTTTAACAATATTTGTAGGATGGTGATTCTATTAGTTTAGAGGTAATTATGGTTTAATAAGTAAGCACATATACATATAATTATTTATAAATTCTTTATTTTATTTTAGAACACATTAAACCAAATTTCAAAACTGGGATATTCAACAATTTCTGCAAAAAATGGTCAAGAGGCAATTAGTTTAATTGATTCTGAAGTTAAATCATTAAAATATTCGTACTCGATTTCATCCAATTCAGACACAAATCAATTAAAGTCTTGCAAAATATTATTGATATTAACTGAATGCAATTTGGTACGTTTAATTTTTTAATTATTTTATCATGATATAATGCTCACAATTATTAATTATTGTACTTAGCCAATAATATCAGGCTTTGATATTTCACGAGAAATTAGAGCAATGGAACCACCGATTTCAAATATACCAATTATTGTTCTTACTACTTTACCTATGAAAAAAATACAAAATGAATGTATCGAGTCTGGAATTAATGGTTATCTTGCAAAACCACTGAAAGCTGATGAACTTGAAGAAGTTTTATCTAAGTGGATTAGTAAAAATTAGCATTAATAGTCTATATTAATGGGTAAAAATTAGCATTAATAATTAAGAATATAATAATCTTATATTGTTTATTAATATAATAATATAATAATCTTATATTGTTTATTAATTTAATAATATGTTCTCATTTTTTTAAACTGATTACTGTATGTTTACCTTAAAAAAGTTTATAGTTATATAAATTATATACAGTTGTTTTAATTCTTTGTTATATAGTTAACTGTCTTTTTAACTTTATAAAATGATGCAGACAGCCTTCTAAAATGCAAGCCATGGCTTAGAGTTGGCACTCGAAACGAACCTACCCGAAACTAGTTTCAGAAGGTTCTAATCTGAAACTAGTTTCAGATTTTTGAAAAAAATTGAAACTCCAAAACTCCAAAACTATAATCCAAAACTCCGAAACTATAATATAAAATTTATAAAAATTATAAGCTATAAAATAAATTTATTTTAATAAAATGTTTAACAAAAATATATTTATATAAATAAATAAATAATATTAAAAATATAATACTAATAAACTATTTAATATTAAAAATATAATACTAATAAACTATTTTATATTATATATATAAAGATAAAAAAAACCTTAATATTAAGGAAAAAATCTTTATATATATAATATAAAATTAAATAATAATAATAAATTTAATTATTTAATTTTTAATAATAATAAATATCATCAATATTATTAAAATATTTTTGTACTAATTCACTTAGATTATAATCTTCTTTACTTTCTAAATCTTGAATAAAGTTATCTAAATTATTTTTATTATCTAAAATTTTTATTTTTTTTTAAAGTTAAAGTCCCTGCCTATAGAGATTGATGTTTTTATTCATGTATTTGAACATTGAAGCCTCTAGGAACTCCCTTACATAGGAGGTTACAACTAATTACACATACATTTTTGGTACTTAATTTAAGTAGTCTGCCTATACATTACTATACAGGTTCTATACTAGGTGTCATACCTGCAAGCCAACTATAGGTCTTGCCTATTTAAACCCTCTGCATATATAGTTCATCATGTCTTACAATAACCTTTTCAAGGTTACACTTATCCAAAGTATCTGATGCCTTCAAGGTCTCTTAGGACTAGTTTATCCTTGGCAAAAAACTTACTAGAATATTCTGTATTCCATATACAGCTGATTTAGTTTTATATAACTTGCTATAGTTGTCTAATACTTGCAGTTACAGAGATTACCTGTTTAACTACTATATTACACAATTTCTATCTTTGTAAATTTTACTAGAATCCTAGTACCTATCATCATGAAGTCTTCTTCATCATCCCTATTAACTGCTACTTAGAATTGATAGAACTTTCCCAACTTCTAATCCAGATAGTCCAATATAGTATATTTATATATTCTTTTTCTTTTGGTAATTTCAATAGCCTGATTGGTCATATGCTCTTCTACACATCTTGTTATCCAATTTATCTGCTTATCCCTTTGAGAATGTTTCATAAGTTTCTATCAGTCTGATCATACTATAGAAAGTTCATGCTATCTCTTTATTCAGGAATTTTCAAGTAGGCTCTCAACTCTTCAGTTCTTTAGTTTACTGTACCTAGTAGTCTTATCATAGGTTTGTACTAAAGTCTTATATAATATGCTATACATTCCTCTATGTACATGTAATATTACACTTGGCATAGATACTCTGATCTCTTATTTGAGATAGTATAACTTAAGATTATAGATACACCTATTCAACTGATCATCAAGAGACAGTCTGCTATAATACAGATATAATTTTTCAAATTTCATCATAAGTGAAATTTGAATACTAGATCTGTCATTTGGAAAATGACAACTTAACCATTATATTATGATCATCATTCTCTATTATTTGAAATTTTTATAAATTGATTATCATTATCTTTAAAAATATTATTTTTTAAATTAATTATTTCATTATTATCTAAATTATAATTATCTAAATCAATATTTAATTAATTTTTAATTTCATTTTTATCTTCTTTTTTTTTTCTTCATTAAGTTATGTATTATATAATTCTTAATAAGTATCTTTAGTTATATGTTCTTGATTATATAAATTTAATTTAGATATTCTATTAATAATATAATAAGAATAAATTTTAACTAATGATTCAAGATTTTCAATTGATAAATTTGTTCTTCTTTTTTCTGTCATTCATTTACAAATAAACTAAACTCTTTTACAACTTACTATATATGGAATAATTGTAAATATGATGAACTTATTATACATGTTTTTCACTAACTTAAAACTGAATCAATATTTGATAAAAAAGATGCATTAAATGGATTTTAATTTAAATAAAATTCTCTAAATTGAACAATAAGTATATCTCCAGATATTTATTTAAAATATTTATAATTTTTTAATTAAATTATAATTTCTGAAATTTTTATTATTTGTTATCAAATATTAGCTACTAAAGTTACAATTTTTAAAAAATAATTTTTTTGAATACCAGTACCTAAATAATTTATAAAAAATTTAAAATTAAAATAAATATATAATTATATAATAAATA